GATATATCAGTTATCTGTGCACTGCACGTGTCCAAACCATGTCAACCTTGCCTTTCTAACTTTGTATACAAACTGCTTAGAAGATTGATGGATGCAGTGAAAGAGAATATGCGTGTTATGCATGTTAAAGTACACAATTATGTGTGCTTGAACATGCATAAGCAGAGCTTCTATAGTGCATTGTAATGTAATTTTTACCTAATAAAACTACATATACCCTCCGTCCCATCATTTAGCTGCTGAGGTCAAATGTCAACTTTGTTAAAAAAAGGCTATCATCACCAGGAAGCAGCAGGCTCTGCGTAAGCAGGAGATGGAGGCCATCCTGCTCAGGCAGCAGCAGCTTGAGGAGACTAACCGACAGCTGTGTGAGAAGGCTGGAGAACTGAGGAGGTCTCTCAGGGATCTGGACCTCTCCCAGGACAGATACCAGGAGCTTCGTGGTCTTCCTGAGGACAAAATATCTATACAGGAATATGTAGCTGTGAGTATGAGGTGGTCTTCTACTGGTCATTAGAAAGGACAACATATAAAGAAATCAAGAAACAAGGTGATATTTTCTTTGTGCTGTGTCCCTAGATGCGTTTCTATGAGGTAGTGACCCCTCTGCGGGCCCAGCTGGTTGAGCTTAGTCTGAAGAACAGCAGTGTGACAGAAGAGCTGGATATGCACAGAACCAAGATGAAGACACTGATTGAGGTAAAACACACAAACCCAACCTAGCAGCACTTGTGCAAAGTGTTCACATAATCGTTTGCGTAGCATATCAAACACTTGTTCTTTTTTGTCTTTATTTTCTCTTGTTATGTTTAAAGAAACATACTTGAAACACTCAGACTTTGAGTCACTTGTTTAGGAAATGTAAAAACAAAGATTGCAGATGGTCAAGATGTGCTAAAAGCATCAATAGTAGCGACATTTCAGTGGTCATGTTAAAAACTGCAGTGTTGAGAATGATATTGGTGTGAGTTAAACAAAAACAGTACAGTCAATACAACTACCAGACACCCCGTAGGCATGCATGACACAATGATGAGAAAATGCTGTGTCATGCTGACAGCCGGGTTATAATATGCCAAAAAAATGTCATGAATTCAGACTCGGGCTGCTGGAGGGATGTTGGCTAAACAGTTTTCACCCTAAGGAGGTGAATGTGAGAACGCAAATGTCTGACACAGTCGGACCAGACATGCTGGTATTTAACTTGACGGTTCCATAGTAAAAAGTTGGCATGCTGTTGCTTTGTTACAGATTGTAAATAGCACAGGTAATATTTCTGTACTGCATTACTGAGTGGATATCATGTGTGCTTCCGCATGTGCACTATCCAAACAGCATGCTTGTATTACCCACACAGAGTACTAACAGTAGTGTGGATGTCTTAAAAGCAGACTATTTCCTTGTGTTCGGAAAATCTGAGAATGGGAAAACTGTGAAAAATATCCTGTCCTAATTCTCTTCTTGGCAAGAGATGCTTTAAGATGAAAATGCCACAGGGCATCTAAACATTGCTGTGTGACAGGTGATTTTACTTTTTTTTTTTTTTTTTGAATGTAGACATCCCGCACCCTGAAGAACACACAAGCCAATACATGCTAGTGTACATATTCTAATTCCTCTAGCTCACTAAAAACTAAGGCCTTTTTATCAGTTGCTCCTACATTGAGTGCCTGGACTGGATTTTTCCTGAAATCCTAATCTTTCAGTTTTTCATTATTAATTATTCCTTCCGTCCATTATTCCTTCCAGTGTCCAAGGAATACTAGTAGCAGAATTCCTAGTATTTCTTTCGGATGCCTTATTTTCTTGGCAAGGTCTCGGTTTGTGATTTGGAGACATCTGGCTGTAAAATTGTGCATCACCTCGTGCTGAATGCAGGAATGTGTCTTATCGCATCTAATAATAATAATGCTAATAATGATGATAATAATAGTAGTAGATAAGGTCCTTCTTGTATTGTCAGTATTGTCTTTTCTGTGCATGTGTCCTCAAAGAGCTACGAGGAAGAGCGGCGGTTGCGTACAGAGCTGGAGATGAGGAGCCAGAGATTGACCTTAGAACTGGCTGACACCAAACAGCAGATCCAAGATGGCGACTACCGCAGAGAAAACTACCCAAACATCAAACGGTGTGTTTGCTTATGTGACATTTGCTAATCAGAGGTCAGCTTATGAGCTTTCTATATTTCCTCTGAAGGCCACAGTACATATTTTAGGCTCTGTCCTTGTCCCAGAAACACAATTTTTAAACAGTTTATGGGGAAAAAAATGCAGAACTGTATTGTAGATTTAAGAGCAGCCCGCTGCTTTTTCGTCTATAACAGTAATGAAAAAACACATTATAAATTTGACTACTGTGACTCAGATCCTTTGAAAACCAGTACATTGTAACATTTGATACTGGCGTTGAAACGCTTAATGGACCGTCTGGCGTAACAGCATGTCTGTAATAAATGTGGTGGAAAAGTAGGACGCCAGGAGCCTTTATGTTTTATTTAAAAAAGGAAAACCAGCCGTCAGTTTTTGTTTGCTATCATTTTAATTACTTTAATATTATGTTTCAAAGAGCAGCATTTCACTATGATATTATCTAAAACTGGAAACAGCAAGCTCCAAACCATTTTTTCCCCTCAGAAACAAGAAATAGGAGATGATGAATTTAAACTTACCTTTATATTTAAATTTTGAACTTGTAAGTTTAAATTTGTGTCCACCCC